AGGTCAGATAGGAGCGGCATGTTTGTCTGTAATCAGATGTCATCTTATTTTTGGTTTCAATTTAAATGGAGGGCAACTATCACACATGACCAACCTAACATTATTGGTGACCTTTGGTCTTAAAAGAATGGTCAAAGTAGTTGGATACTTAGTTCATCCAAAAATGAAAATTCAGTCATTTACTCATCCTGGGTTCGCACCACAAAAGCATTGGTCTGAATAAACTCGATCTCATGCATATAATGCCAGTGAACAGTGAATAGGTTTAAGCTTTTAATGGCACAATATGTACGATTTTTAGATTAAAATATCCAAAAACCACTTTAACAATGTTGTCTATTTTGTTGACCTGTGTACTTGCATTATTCCAAATATTTCTAACAATGTTTAAATCCAGAGAAATCAACTATTTTAACCAGGACACGGCCCGTGTCTGTCAATGACGTCATATCTGGGTTACCCTCAATTTCGACTGGTTTTTACTTCCAACCAACACCAAATATGCTTTAATATTTTGTCAGCTGTATATTTAGTATTTGAATATTTAGACAGGTGAGCAACTGTTTGGATGCATGTATCACCAGAAAACTAATAATTGTTTTATAGCTTATCACGGTTAGTCTTATTGTCTGAATCTCTTGTTTTCTTGATTTAACACGACTGCATCTTTTGTCATAACAAACATGTATCTGAAACACACAGTTAAAACAACCACAGAACTAATGTTAAAAAGTAAAGAGACCAACTAAAGCAAACACTGATCATCATAATGGTAACCTCCAACTTTTTTTTTCCAATAAGATATCAACATCGAAACCTCTGTTAATTCTCAATAAGAGCTTCTGTAGACGTCTGACAGAAATAAAGTCAGTCTGGTTAGTAATAAGTGAAGCTGGTAATGCTGTGTTTGTTGTTGAGATCTTGAGAGATATGTTAGGGTTTAATGTTCTGTTGGGATTTAAAGTGTTTCTGTTGGGTTTTGTGGGTCACCATTGTGTTGAAGAGTAGAGCCTGTGCTTCAGTCCAGGAGAAGAGCAAGTAACATTGAGAATATGTTGGATGTTGCTTTATTTAACAAGCGGTGATTGTGTAGTTAATGATCCCGTGATGTATAGTTGTAGCCTGGTTAAAACCAGACCATTCTCAGTTGTAACTGAGTTATGGTCTGGCAAAGCGTCATTGACAAATCATTTCCAGAGGGGCGTCACCAACGGACGTCGCGGATAGACCTAAACCCAATCAGAGCGATGAAGGAGATGACGTATGCAGAGCGGCGGAGAAACATCTCCGAGTGTTGTTCTTTGCTCGGTTTTTAACAAAAAGGAAAGGTTTAAATTGCTTAAAACAGAATAGCTGATAGCTGATAGCTGATAGCTGATAGCTGATAGCTGATAGCGATAGCTGATTCGAACGAGTGATGTTCGACGGCGGCATCCATCTTTGTAATGTAGGCTACAAAATCTGCTTCAAAATCCCAGAGCTGTCGTCATCGTGTAAAGCCCGCCCCAACGTTTCTGATTGGTGCCGCGATTTCGACGGATTGGAAATGGGCTTGAATGAGCTCTTTGCCAGACTAACTTTCAGAGCAAATCTAAATTTGCCGTAAGTTGTCTGGGTTTTCCCAGGCTAGTATAGTTGTTAACTGCAAGAGATTCACTTTTTACATTGTAGAAACCATGGCAACAGTGAGTCTAATGAAAACAATGCAGAAGTAGTAGTTGTAGTGTCTAGCACGCCACTCTGCACAGCAAAATCCCCAGTGTAAAAATTAACACTCCTGGTGTACATATAGTTCCAACTACAGGGTGTTAAAAATGAATAATGTGTAATGGCCCGAAGTCAGTAGTTCTTGTGTTTCTCTCTTTTTTTCTGTTCTTGTTGTTTCTCTTTCCTTCATTGATTCTTCTTATTAACATTAGGTGTCACCACTAATGGCCAATCATCACTTAATTAATCACTTAATTATCTCAATAACTTCAACACTGCTTCAGTGTTCATTTTAACACCCTGTAGTTGGACCTATATGTACACCAGGAGTGTTCATTTAACACTGGGGATTTTGCGGAGTAGAAACTAATCTGATGACGTTGATCACTCTTTAGTATAGGATATAGTCATCATGTAGGGATCTGAGTGAAATCTGCATGGGGAACTTTTTCGTTCTCATGTGAAACTCACGATCACATGGGTTCCTCTAGGGATTACTGGATTTCAGCTGTGAAATTTCATCAAGTATTGGTAAGATTTTATAGTAAAAGAGCCAACAAACACAGCTCTGATGTTAATGTCTTTTGTTCCACAGAGCACTTGTGCACTTCCTGTTTCACTTTACACAGCAGAAAGTATTGTTTCACTTTACCGGATGTCAGTATTAGAGGCACGTATTCAATACTGGAAAATAACAAGGAACAAGGAAATAACAAGACCCCCAACCCCTACCTTTTCTTGTAAATCAGGGCTGTTTCGGTCAGACAGAGCACTGTGTAGATTCAGTTTCACTTTTCACTGCACTGATTCACTTTAGCCGATAAACAGCATTAAGATTCTTTAATAATAGGGGACATGAACAGTAGGGTTGCTTATTATAAGATATGTGTTATGATTTTACTGGGGTAAACTCATATCCGGTACTAATGACGGATGGCATTTTCTGGCTGAGCATTTCCTAAGAAAACTTTCTTTGACATAGAATACAGAAATAATACAAGTAACAACACAAATATTGAAGAACATTTGTTAAAATATTTTCTAATATCAATATAATTCTGTTGATCATTCACTCTAAAAATGCTGGGTTGTTTCAATCCAACTGATCTGTTGATTCTGCTCGTCGCTTCTCTCTGAAACTTAATTAAACTATCTAAAGTTAAATAGAAAATGGTTGCAGTGACCCCTAACAATGACTGTAGAAAGTCTTGCAAATCTTCCTCAAACAACATGTTGTGATTTTGCTAAATTTCTGTGAAATTGTGATTTGCTTTTCAGTGCCACAAACAGCAGAAGATGTTGCAACCCTGGATCGTGCAGAGAACATGAGGAACATCTCGAAGGTATTTGATCCTTGTAAGACTGGAAAAACTGGTTGAAGAACGACCAATAAGACAAAGGACCTTGCTGAAAATGAACATTTATCATGCAGTCTCACCTAATCTACATTTCATTCTCTCTCTCATTCACATCTAAAACTCACACAAGAATATATATGGTTTAATGTGAATGATTACCATGGAGTATAACACATGTTTAGTATCATTTGAAATGTCTTAGGGTGACTGGTACAAATGTCTCATTCCCAAAGAGTAAAACACAAGGTAATACGTTTTTTTAGAAGTCTACAGAAACTGGCACACAAAGTAAGATAGGCAAATGGTCCTCCTACCCCCCAAAAGGTGTAACCTCTGAATGCAAATGACCATTGTTGGCACGTTTCCATGTGAAAGAGGTTCTGTCTATATAATGAAATGCAGAAAAGGGTTCGGGACCTTCTGTACCTCAGATCAGCCCGTGAATGTTGAGAGCCGCCGGGACGCTCAGCATCACGTCTTTCTTAATGTCGGGTTCGCATCTCTTCTCTTTATTCCAGAGCATTCAATGTTATTGTGTTGATTATCTTTGAACTGATTATGAAATTGCCATGATACATTTACCTGACATAATAAATTGTAAACATTTGATTTTATTCTAACGGACTTTGTTATTTTCATTAAAGAGTTAAAAAGAAAAGTCACATTTAATGATGCACAGATATCATTAAAACCTTTTCATTTATGGAGTCAGATGAAATAACGAGGTAATACCTGAGAAAATGTATTGCATTTAATCAAAAATCCAAAAGACAGTAACGTGCAGAGACCTTCCCCGCTGATCGAATGCCGCCATTGGATCGATTTAGCCGGGCCTTACATCCTCATGACGAACACACACAGGATTTGGGAGAGTCTCTCAAATGGACAATTGCATATAAGTCGAAAGGGAATAACAAATCGAGGGAGTGAAACTCAAGGACTTGGAGATCCATTTCCGAAGGAACAGTGTGATCGACATTCCTGAACATTCAGAGCGTCCCTAAATAGCAAGATGAAGGGATGCTTCTCAAATGAAAGTTTGCATTGTAGAAAGGCTCAGTCTAGTCCAGAGATTGGAGGACATGAATGAGAAACTAATGCATCCTTTAAAATACAAATTACAAAATAAAAAGACCATGTAATGAAGGCTGCCTTCCCAATCTTTCAAAATGAGATGGCCTTCAATGGCCTGACTTGATACTGATTGCAATTAAACATATTCATAATTTTTTTTTATTAAAGTGTATAAATAAACACTTAGCATTGATTCAACATTAAATTCATCATGTTAAGTATTTTTACATTTACATTATGTATTTTTAACATTTTTGTAACTAAAAGTGATGTAGAATCGAATTTAAGTGACATTACTATTGATTGTTTTTTATATTATTATTGAAATTTTAACATTAGTAGGGTGCATAACTGAGGCTCTACATTACGTCGCAGTGTTTATCTACTGGTGATGACACATCAATGTTGACTTAGAAAACTTCAGCACATTTTACCATCTTCATATCAGCCTTTACTGGGTGAATGAGCAGCACTGAAACAGAAAGTGAAAGTTTCTCCTCACAATTAATTCACAGTCATTTTTTTCATTTAAACTGAGCTTATTCTTCACGGAGAAGCTGATGTGCATTTTAGAAAGTTGAGTAGATAAGACAGTAGACATCCTCATTTTTATCCTCATTATCGAGTGTTTTGGAAGTTTCACCATTGGTCTAAGTTACCGAGGGGTTTTGACTGCATGTGATCGTCTCCTGAGAATGAATTGACCCAGTCATTGCATCTTGTAAAACATTAACAGAGAAGTTACATACCGGGTTAATAGTTCACAGCATCATCCAAAACTGAACTCCAAAAAAAGCATTGTAACATAATCACTCCCACCGTTTGATTTGCGTTATCCCCCAGTGTGTATATAAACCCCCGTCAGGTGATCTCAGTCCACACTGATCTGAAGAACCTCATCTGACATCAACACCATCCGTGACCTCGGGTCAGTATTCACAAGCTATATTTGATGATACGATATTATTCAGCATGTTTAGAATGATTAACCTCATTTTCATTTACATTACAGGTGTCCTCAACTTTATCAACTTTACAGACTCTTCCAGCTCCTCAGAAGTTGACAGTAAGAAATCGATTATAAGTTTTAATAATGAAACCAAAGATATTTGCTCATGTCAGTATTGTGTCAGGGATTTATCTCTTAATATAAACAATTATGATTCCGAACGATTAAATAATTAAGAATATCATCAATATATAAAAATATATAAAAATGGGTCAAATATTGGTTATATAAAAAACAATTTACATTATATATATATATATATATATATTGATGACATTCTTAATCTAATCATGCAAATTACATGTCAAAAATTGTAGTTACTAATGTAACCCATTAGATTACACATTTTAGGTAATATAATCAGACTACATTTAGATTACTTTTGACCTAACTTTATCACATTGAAAGAAAATCAGAGAGAATCAAATAAATTATGAAAAATGTATTACCATTGTGTGAATATTAACCCTTGTGCATCAATTAAAAAAAGTTACACATAGGTCCATAGAGGACAAAAATGTCTGTCAAAACACTGTCATATTTTTTTTTTTAAGTAAAACAAAAAATGTAGGTTTAAGTTTATGACAATTATTTATGAACATTATTTTATATAAAATGTATATTTTATAAAACATGTTGAAATACAAATTCAAAGCCATAAACTTTGTGTTAAAAAGTCGTGTTCAAAATTTGAGGATGATATCTCTAAAAATTAGCTTTCAGTAAGACTTTGTGGGTGCAGTACCAAATTTTTACCCACACAATTATCGCTGCATAATTTATCCAATTGGCTCTATAATATGCATAAGCAGAAAACAGGAATAAAGTGAGTATTTGGTTTATGGGCCAAACCTGAAAAAAAAAAATGGCACCGTCTGGTAAAAAATTGGCCTGGGAAAACCCAGACAACTTCCGGCAAATTTAGATTTGCTCTAAAAGTTAGTCTGGCAAAGAGCTCATTCAAGCCCATTTCCAATCCGCCGAAATCGAGGCACCAATCAGAAACGTTGGGGCGAGCTTTTAAATGAATTTAAAAAGGCTCCCTGATATGATTCAGGTATTCAAATTCATATTTATTCCTGGCTATATTAATAGCCAATTTGAGCAACCAATAGCACATTTTAACATCTTAAATAATAAGATTTGCATGCATCATCATCCAAAGCATTTGAAGTGGGTATTGCTGAATCAGTCTTCAGCCTATAACCAAATGCTCCACTCTTCTCCACAATGGTAACCCACAGTTTTTAAATTTAAATGGTTCTAATAATTGCAATGTAATTGAACATTAAACACAATTACGCGCTATTAAGTCTTCCCCTTTTCTAATTTTCTCAAAAACACACAAAATAACTCTTAATTTCAACATTTATTCTCGCTTTATTCAGCCATATGCAAAGCATGCTGGGAACTAACAAGCACCGGCCAGTTTCAGTTAATGCAACACAAAGCAAGCATGTAATCCAACACAAGCAGATTAAGTAAACTTAAATTTGACATATATTTAAGCAGACTGAACACAATCAAATTAAGTTTGGACAAAATGTATAGCAATTGAGTTGCTTAAGCTCATTTTAATTAAGCAATTTGAACAAGCAGCAAAAACAAAGCAAGCAAAAGCACATACACATGCTGTCTCTTATTCCGCTGGCAGGAATCCCGCGAGGTCATGGACTTCTTCAAAGTTGTGGGCGCCATAGCGTCCGGTGTGGCGGAGGGGACGGTGGGTGCGGTCCGGGCCGTGGTGGACGTCCCGGTGGGGATGGTGAAGGGAACCATTGAGAGCTTGGAGAAGGCCAGCAGTAAGATGGACAGCGTCAGCACACCCGGAGACGGAGTGAACGCTGTGTTCGGTCTGCTAGCGTCTCCGCTGACCGGCGCGGTGTCCGGAGCAACTAGAGAGATTGTCAATGCGCCATTTAAAGTTGTGCAGAGTACTGCAAATGGTGTTGAGAGAGTTTTAGACGATTAAAGACTCAAACATTTAACACTCATATTGTGTACACCTTTTAATAACTTTTATCTGTGAATTATCTGGAAATTGAAGAAAAATTACTAATTAAAACTTTCACACTCTCACAGTTAATGATGGTTTGACGTTGTCTCTGCAAATTACTTCATAATATCGTAACATTAAACTCAACACTGATCGTTTCACAATTATGCGAATTAAACTTCACTATGTCACACATTTTGTCTTTTGTGTAAATTGTCTTTGGTCCTTCTGTTTTTTTTCAGCATTTGAATACTTATAATAGTGTTTAAAGCTATTGTGTTTTTTTATTGTTATGTTTTTTTTGTTATAGGCCTTCTGGTTGAAACTCTCTTCACATCCTCATAGGAGTCAATAATAGAAGTGGTCTAAATATTAAAACATGTACATATTGTCTGTGGAAGTCTCAGAAGCAAAAAACGTTTGTCCAATCATTGCGTTAGGTCCAAATGCAATGATACAATGACCTGCCTGCCTGTCTGTGGGTTATCTCAATTAATGGATCAACCAACAAGAATTTCTAGTAACAATACAGGATTTTTAACATCAAAATGTATTGATCATATTAACACTAATAATCCTGATATGTGCTCAATACCCATTTCTGTAACAGTTGGCTTTAGTGATCACAACTGTATTGCTGTCTCCAGGAGAACTAAGCTACCTAAAATTATTATGAAAATATCTTATAGGGTATTTAATGAGGAGAGTTTTCTAAATGAATTGGATAGTATTAAATGGAATTTGATAAGTGACATTGATGATGTTGATGCATCCCTTCATTTATTTATGGATTGTTTTATGAGAGTTGTTAACAATCATGCCCCATTAAAGAAATGTACAGTTAAAGCCAAAAGTGCTCCCTGGGTTGATACTGAGTTAAGGAGCTTAATGGCTCAAAGGGAAGAGGCTAAAAAGGTTGCGGTTATTTCTGATTCTTCTAAGGACAGAACATTTAATTGTATTTTAAGGAATCAGGTGACCAAGGTGAACAGAGTGAAAAAGAAAGAATATTTTAAGAAGAGAATTGATGATAGTGGTACAGATAGTAAGAGAATGTGGAAGGTACTCAATGAAATCATGGGGAAAAAATCTACTTGTACTTCTTTTGTTGAATTGAATGGAGTTTATTTGACTAAGCCAATACAGATTGCAAATTATTTTAAAGATTATTTTGTTAATAAGGTTTCTAATTTTAGAGAGACAATGAAATACACGATTGATTAAAACTCAGTTGAGCTAATTGAAAGGTGTATTATAAAAGATAAACTGTGTAGTTTTGAATTTCATCAGGTTGATGTTGTGCAGGTGGAAATGTTGTTGAGATCATTGACTGTTGGTGGGTCTGTTGGCACAGACAACTTGGATAGTCGGCTGTTGAAGTTATCAGCTGGACATATTTCTAAACCAATCTGTCACATTTTCAACAGATGTTTGATTAGTGGTGTGTGTCCAAAACTTTGGAAGGAGGGTAAGATAATTTCTTTACCCAAAGACACGAAATCAACTTTCTGTGGTCCAAATAGTAGGCCTATTAGCATCTTGCCTATTCTAAGTAAATTATTGGAAAAGATTGTATTTGAGCAAGTGCAAGATTACTTTTCTAACAATGATTTGACTACGATGTTTCAGCATGCTTATAGGTATGGTCATTCCACCTGCACTGCAATGACACAAATGTCGGATAGCTGGCTAACATCAATTGATAACTCAATGCTAGTGGGTACACTACTACTAGACTTCAGTGCTGCCTTCGATGTGATTGACTATGACATTTTGATTTCTAAACTTATTAGTTATGGTTTTACTTTCTCAGCAATAAAGTGGTTTAAGAGCTATTTGTCGGAGAGGTCGCAAAGAGTTTATTTTAATAGTGCATTATCTAGTAGCAAGTCCCTGGATTGTGGTGTTCCTCAAGGAAGTTGCCTCGGACCTTTGTTATTTTCAATTTTTACAAATGATATGCCCTATATACTCAGTAATTGACTATGTTTGCTGATGATTCTACTCTTTATTATGCAGCCCCTACATGTTCAGAGCTTAATCAGGTTCTGTCTAGCGAGATTAGCAAATTGTATAATTGGTTCAAAACAAATAAACTTGTTCTAAATATTTCAAAAACTGTGAGTATAATATTCGGTTCTAAGTATAGATTATCTGATAATCCTAAAATTGATATACAAGTAAATGGTCAAAATGTACAGCAAGTAAAAAATGTGAAGCTTTTGGGACTTTGGCTCGATTCCACATTGTCATGGTCGGATCACATCAACAAAGTTGTTGCTAAAATGGGTAGAGCTGTTGCAGTAATGCGTAAATGTGCACAGTTTTTAAACTTACAGTTGTTTAGCCGTGTTGTTTGTACATTTGGATTACTGTTCTGATGTATGGTATGCTGCATCAAGCAGTCATTACAAGTGGTGCAAAATAAGGCTGCAAGACTGGTTCTCGAGAACTGGTGTTGCAGAGATGCATGAACGTCTTGCTTGGCTGGTGGTCAAGCATAGACTATCTGTTAATATGTTAGTATATTTGCATAGAATTATTAACACTCGGATTCCTAAATTTCTTTATAATATAATTGATTGTTCAGATATGCATTCACAATACACAAGGGGGGTGAATAGTCGACAGATTTCTTTACCCCTACCTAAATCTGACTCTATGAAGAGGACTGTGTTTTATAGGTCAATTGTATTTTGGAACAATCTTCCAGTTGGGGTTCACTGTAAAACCGAACAGTTGTTCTAACTAACACTTTTTAGTTAACTTTACTTAATGTTGAATAATTAGTTGAACTTACTTAAAACAATTTAGTAATCTGTACTGTTTGCATGCTATGCCTTCTTTACTCAGAAAACCCAAGTACACATTACTTGACTGGTTTGAGTACCATTTTGCAAAAGCAAAAAAAAAAAGGGAAAAAAGCAGGCGGGGCAAATGTTTTTTGAGGCGGGGTAAATCTTAATAGACTTTTCACTAATTTCTGCAGTCATCGTTCTTCTTAGTTGCATTTGCTCATTTTCCAGTCATCTTGAATGTTATTGTCAAAACAACTAACAATTTTGGGAGAACGTCACATAAGTTGACTTCTTAAATTCATGTTGATTTCCAAAAATTTCTCACCATTATTGTGATAAGTGTTCCCTTTGGTTGGGCACTGGGAACTTAATTTATATTATTATAATTTTCTTCCAATTGATGCAGTGATGCAACATGAAATCAGTTATATGATTTCAAAGGAAGTGAAGTAATAAATATTATATATATTTATACTTAAATTATTTCCATGTTTTGAATGAATTTATTAATGATATATATGATAACTATCGTTATACTTCATGTATAATAATGATCTTTTAACATTTTATTGCTAACACTTATGGCATAACCTTTTAATTGGGTTGATATAACCCCTCTATATTTGTGACAATATCTCGCAATTTTGCTTGAGTCACACACAGACTTCAACATTCAGCATGCGAACCAAAACAATGGTAACACATTTTTTAAAATGAATTTAATTAATTAGATCATTACAATTTTATTTGCTGTCTCTTGTCAGTATAACCCCAATAACGATAGCAAATACAATTGTAATGGTAAAATAAAGCCAAAAATAGTAAAACAAAGCAATTAATTTATTAATGCCGCAATGCACTCTGGGAGTACACTTCATCAGATCACTGATAGAATTAAGTTGAAAAAACTTAAACGGATTAAGTAAGAAAAACTTGATGCAATTAAGTTATGCTTACTTAATTAAATTAAGGCAACGAGTTACCTTAGTTTTTTTAAGTAGATTCTACTTATCCGGGTTTGCAGTGTTCGTGAAATCAAGGGAAAAACTGGTTTTAAAAAAAGACTTAGACTGTATTTGTTTTCAATATCATAATATTGTCTGGATTGGTTGAGTGAGGTTGTATTATGTGCTATGTTATTCTCTATGTTTATTTATATTTGATATATTTGGGAGTAATTGTGATTGTAATTATTGGCTTTTGGATGTATTGTTTGGACCCCAGGAAGACTAGCTGCTGTCTCGGCGTCAGCTAATGGGGATCCTTTTAAATAAACAAATAAACAAATAAACCATATGTATTTCCATAATTCGCGCAGAAATCATACGCCATCAGCATATTCCTTATCACGTGAGCGTCAGTTGCATCGGATTGTCATCAGATGTGACCTTTGGTTTTGATATTAATGGAGGACAAACTATCAACCAATGGCCAACCAAAAAGATATAAAACTGTGTCTTTTGGCCTTAAAGATCCCATTCAAATATTTATTGTACAGTGGATCAGGTCATAATCAATTTTAATTCACACATTGTATTAAGCAGATGCCCAAATCTTCACATGTGCATTTGATGTACCGTATGAAAGAGCAGCTTCAAGACTAGTAAGCCCTAGTTTACAGGAAAGATTGTGGAAGTTGAAAATAAAGATGTGTGAAGGTTTCCCCCATCAAAGCCTTAAATCTGGGAGAATGAGAAACTTGATGAATCATCAACCGAGTTTACAGGAAAGTCTGTGATCCTGAAAGTGAAAATAAATAAAGGCCAGAGGTTTTCTCCTCTCATTTCAACAGGGGATTTCTTGATGATGAGGAGGAGGATGTTCTTCATGATACTTGAAATCTGAGAGTGGAAGTTCATATCAACATTAAAGTAAAAATGTGGAAGTAAAGGCTATGTCTTCTCAGCCAGAAATAAACATCTTTACCAACATCTCCACTTGTTTCCTGGGCGTTTTGGATCAGTGACTCCCACAGTTTCAACTCAGTTCCTCTATTAAGTCTATAAAGACCAGAGAGTAACCCAACATTAATTTAAAGAAGTTTCAGCTGCCCAACATCAAGACCATCTGTGACAGCAGGTCAGTATTCACAATCTGTTTGGTGAGTGACATTATAGCTAACTTTAGCATGTTTACTATGTGTTTAGCATGTTTAGCATGTACAGTAACTTCATTTCAGGGGCAATAACATAAATGCTCATTTTGATATACATTACAGATAAAATTGCCTTCAGTTTTATAGAATTAATTTAGTCTCTCTGTCATATTGTGCCCTTCTTTCTGGGTGAACATATGTTTCTGCTGCGGATGTGGCTGCCATTTCTGACATAGGATGCTTGTCGAAGATTAAGTGGAAACATTAAATCAAATATTCTACTTTTGTCAAAATTATGAG